ACCTAAGAAATGTTTACTCAAGCGACCGTCAATATTTACACAACAAATTGAAACGGTAAAAAACGTAAAAAAATGCCACTAAAACCAAATGGGGACATGCACAAAGGTTTTAATGTTTATTTATAAGTTAGCACGCGAGCAATCAATTGACTAGCAGATGACAGAGAGCTGTTATGATTTAAGACGACAATCGTTCTACTGCCCGTTAAACGAGGGGCATTGTCGATATGACATTCATGACGCCTACACAATCGAAACGATGCTCCTTCAGAGCAGGCTCTGTCCGTGCTAGGGTTGCCAGACATTAAAACGAAGAGTCGGATAAAACTATTAGTTAATCCGCGTGAAGAAGCCGGACATCCTTAATTTTGTATTGTATAAATTAATCAAGGTTTTTATAAGCATTCAGTCTTCTGAAAACTAACGAGAACCTTGATAAATGAAAAATATTATCATTGAAGTTAGCAATAACTAAGTAATATAAATTTGCAAAGTAGAGCTATGCTATTGCAAAGACATGGGGAGGCAAATAAAACAGATGACACCTTATAAAGATGTATTATTTGCTTTGGCTACAAACGTAATCAACAACAAGGACCGTGTCCGTCTTTATCCGAATGCCTGGCAAAGCTACTCGAAACGATAAAGCTCTTATGCCCGATGATAGAAAAAAAGAACACGATTCCGGTCAGGTAGCCGGCCCTTTGTGAGCATTGTTAGTATTGTGACCTAACGACGCTATGAATAACCCGATATAGGCGAGAACAGGTGGCGTTTCGATCGGCACTGACCACTTCCTTAGTTTATTTTGCACTTTTAGGAGTTCGACGAACGCTTCTCATTATTCTAATGTTATTCGAGTGCCGTGAAAGCGCTTCGATAACCTCGACAGACGAGACATGAATAGAATGACTGATAAACGATGAGATGCCGTAATGTAATGACTTGCAACCAATAGAAACCTCTACGGCATTGTAATAGAGCTTAGAGACAATAACTTTGTGCCACCAATGGGTACGTATACAGGCTCATTTTCAATGCGTTAACGCAAAAGCGATGCGGATCTAGGGAATCATTCTGATCAAATGTTTCTATCGACATTGATACAGGGAGAATTACATCACTATATAAGCTTGTCTTAGAACAAGGAGCTCTGTATTAAATGGCAGTCGAGTTAAATGGTATTATGTATTCTACGACCGACCTGTGTCTGGGCAATTTTCCGAGGAAGTGATTCAGCTTGTTGCAGGCGGCTCTTCACGTTTTAGTTCTACAATAAGCCTTTTATAGTTTATTTAACCAGCTTAATGTGCTTACTGCTTCGACCTCTTAACTATTTATCTTAATACCTTCGAAAGCGTTTTCGCGGGATATTGGAAACGGTGAATATTCCGAGACACCGATTATCTTTGCGATTTGTCAAGGTAGCAACTAGGAGTACGGTCGGCCACTGATAGAAGATCACACCGGGCGATATCTGCAGAAACGCTAGTCGACCCACAGACAGGCCCCTCTCGGCTCGCATTCCGATGTAAATTGCCCGCGGCCGCAGCCAGATTACTGGCGCCGCAATGGATAATTACGCACTGCTGAGGACATCCATTACGGAAGATAATTCAGCGGGCGCAATTAGAGGATGAGTCGTGATTCGATCAACGGCGGCGATGCAGGTGATAAAGTGAGCTAAAGCAATATAAATTAACTATGCCCACAGTTATTAAGACTCGCTGCGGGCGACTGCTTAACATTCCGCACAATTGCACCGGTTATGATCCTAGAAACGCCTATAGCGCTTCGCCATATTAAGTTAAAACTAGTAATAAACTATCTTTAGAGACCAGCTCCAACGACGTACGTAATGACAACGCGACTACCCAAGTAGAAACAACAAATTGTCGATCCAAATTGTAGAATAGCGGACGTTGGAATGCCGCAACAAGGCCACCACATAGCCTTGCTTTTTCCGCGTCATCCAATCAGCATAAAGCCTGTTACGTTGTGTTCAATCTCAACAGCAGAGAAACCGGCTGCGGCGCGAGCCACAAACATTATTAATGTAATAAAGTACTAGATAAAACGGACACAGACAGCGTGTGAACGCCGAGAGAAAGCCGTTGTCGCAACATTAGTTTGTCGCTCATTACCATCCGATTGCTGTTCAAATATATTCGAGGCTCCGCATATTTGGTTGCATTCACCTAGAGATTCACGATCATAAAACTTTATAGCGTTTTAATGACGCCGAACACGATTACTTAATTGAAGTCTTAATTCTTCTAAAAGTAGCTTAAGAATAAAACCTAAAATGAAAAGTAATGCTGATGCAAAAGATTAATTTCTAGAAATAGCAAGTCCTCGTGCATCATATTATCTTTCCAGACAATCTAAATTGGATCGCCGATCTGAAATTAACGAGCGCCCTGAAATGAACTCAGAACTTGTAATAAGAAATGTCTCATTGCGTTGGTGTGCAATGGACTTGAGTGGACGAGCAGTAGCGTGTGTGGTGAACGAGTTGCGTCGATATCTTTTAAGGGATTCCTTCAAGCGCACACTCCCTGCAACATTTCAATCGTGATGTTCGAAACCGGCTCGCGATCGGATCGTTCCATTTCTGTTAAATATTGACTCTTCGCTTTATTTCCTTTGAATCTGTTTTCAAAGATAAGAAAGATTGTGATCGTAGCTCTTTTGCATTTTTCATGTAGGTTTTATTCGTTGTTTCGTTTCATTATAAATTAGATTACAATATTTATCAAAATATAAATTTAAATTCGAAACGAAAACACTACGTTGACATCGTTTGATTAAACTTTAAGCACGTGTCTTAGTGTGACCAATTAATCCTACCTAACCCTTAAAAGGCGTGAAGTGTTAATCGTTGACCGCATAATTCACCGTAAAGTCTATAGAAAAAAGGTTTGAATAAAAATAAATGTGCCGTGAATGCGAAACGGGAAACAGTGAACAGTCACCACTGAAAATCAAAAAGCAAGAATACGTTAAAAAGCACTCTCTTTTATCTTATAAGGTTTTATACCATGTGAACGTCGTCTACGATACGACTCATTAGTTAATCTATCCTCTTTACCCTCGCACTGTCTCGCTCTTACACGACTTCGAAGAGTCATTTATCAACATCCAAATAACATGCCGGGACCTTTTCTCTTTTGTTTATTTGTTTTTTATTTATCTTATCCTTCGGTGTTTCGTTTGTATTCCCTTTTTTGTTATTCGAAATTGATTGTAAACTAAAGCTAATGGCATCCATCGAACATAGCGTACGATGTATTGATAACGCTAATTGTGCAGCTAATGAGTAAATGTATTTATGAACTAAAATTAGAATGAACTATACCGATACCTCAAACACTTACCTACCTATATTCAGTAATAATGAACAATAAAATTGAGCCGATGTAAAACAAAACAAATAGAACCTACGTTTCGTAATAAACGCATTGCTGTTGCAATTACTGCGGGCAGTTCTGCATGCGAAAAGCTATTAAAGATGGCTATTTAAAAGTTTCCAATTTACTTCGCCAGAGTTCGGTTATTAAGCTTTCTTCTCTTTTTTTCTCATTGAAACTGGCTTTTTATACTTCTTAATTATTTATTTATTACTCAGACTGGTCTTTCGATTCGATGGCCTCCCGTCGTTTGCGACTTCATCCAGAAAAGAACGCAAAAGGAATTCTCAAACTTTTTACTTTGAGTCGGGTTACTGAGAATTCCAAAATTCATTCGCATTTCTATTCTTTAAAGATTTTGTTTCAGTAAGAACTGGTGATTGGCTTAAAGAATCTAATTACTATCGAATGGTATTTTTTTTATTTGAATACTTTAACGATGTCCCACCGGCGTCGTCAGCCGAATTACAAGTCATTAAAAAATTAGATATGAAAAAACCTGATACCGTGGATGGTGAAGATATCCGAAAGATGCCTGACATCAGGGGGGGTCTCCCAGGTTTCTCGAGAGCAAATAAAGCCGCGTCCCTAAGAAATTAATTTCGTTTTGTTTTATCGTCTGGAGCCGAAGCATTTACATTGAATGCGGTCAGAGGCTGGCCGTTTGTGAGATATTTATGTAGGGGCCCGTGGAGTATGACGTGCGCATTATTCATACGCGATACACGGTACGGACCAGCTGTGTTATTTTTACCGGTTCATCGGCTTGTCGTCAGTTTCCATGGAAGACGTACGCTTTTTATTGAACGGGAATGTTTTTATTGCGCTATTATAAATTCAATCTTAGCATTGCGATGAACGTCGAAAAGAAATCTTTTCACATTTGGAAAGTAAAGTTTCAGCCTTATATCATATCTCTGATTAAAATCCTATATTCCATTTATTTCGGAAAATTTTAATGGTTGTTTACTTAAAGTGTTGGGAACGTCGTAGGCGTTGATGTTAACGCTATAAACTGTTAGCGTTGATGCAGCAAGGTAAACTTGGGTTAGGTAAATCGGCTGCCATCAAATTTTACGATAGAATCAGGCGCCACGGCGTCGACAGCTGTGATTGCATTCACATTCAATGTTTCGTTTTGCATTCGCAAGTCATTTCCTGTGCAAACTTATCGCCTGCATAAATAGAATTGTCCACGTTTCCTCAATTTATTATTCACTCATTTTTACTTATCGCTAGTACTGATGTGGTGTTTATTATATTATTTTTAACTTTAATACGCTCCGTTAATGTACACTAAATAGCTTTACTGATATTTAAATTTTCATACATGTTATTATTCGGTTCACTTTATGAACAACCTAATTGGGTCTATTAGCATACTTTTATACGCTCATGTTCTACTTTTTATATGCCTGTCGTGTTGTTCGGTGTTTCACTTTCCTTTATAAGTACACGATTAAAAGATTGATAGCTTTATATGGCATATCTATATTGTTAATATGGTATATAATTTTGTATATCTAGTGTTTAAAGCAATATCCTCTACCATTTCGCTCATACATAACGCAATTTAACTCTTTGTTTCAGACTCTAAAGCGGAGAACGACGCTGATGGTGTAAGGTGTTACTGCAATACAGCACAATGTGTGTCGACTGGTTACATGTGCCGGTCACCGAGTGACGGTGGCTGTTACAGCGAGCTGGCACCGAGGAGGACTCATCACGCCAGGCATGGATGCCTGCATCACTTAGCTGAGACGTAAGTTGTTATTAAGCCTCTAAATTGTGATATATCAATGAAATGAAAATATCTTTATTCAAGTAAGCTTGTTACAAGCACTTTTGAATCGTCCAAATTTTTTTTTAGTCTTTTAATATAATTCAACAGAGAGCTTCATTAGTTCGCATATGAAGAAATTATGGTAGACAGTTTGTTTTGTTATCATCAGTGGCATACTAAGCTGTCTTTTGGTCATCGCTATTGTAATATAGCTATCGCTATAAAATAAATTTCTTGTTCCAAACTTAGAATGTGATTTAGCTGGGTTTTAGATTTTGAGCTTTTTTTTTATTAATTATATCCAACCACTTACAATAGCCGTTTTATTATAAGCTTACGTATCACTTTCCGTCAGCGGCTTCGCCCGCGTGGTCTTGTATTATACATAAAAACCTTCCTTTTGAATCACCCTTTCTATGAAAAAAAAAACCACATCAAAATCCGTTGCGTAATTTTAAAGATTTAAGCATACATAAGGTTATAAGGACAGAGAAAGCGATTTTGTATTTTCCTAAATTGAGGAGCTCGATGGCAGCGTGGCGAGCGGGCTTGGCTTACGATACGGTTGTTAAGCCACTTTCGCAATGGCCGATCATAGGGTGGGTGACCAGAAATTTATTAACTCTAACTCGTGATTTGGAAGGCACGTTAAGCTGTTGGTCCTGGCTTCATTTGCAGTTGTTAATACCCATCAATGCAGACTGAGCCCGCATAGTAGGTCATGGTTTATTCTATAGGAAAGACGTAAGACTCGTTTCATTTATTTATTTACTGTATGTACTATCGGTCAGTAAATCTAGGACGGAAAATTAAAAATACCATCGGGTAACTCGACAAGGACTTCTATTATATAACCACAAAAAAAAACTCTTAACAAGTTTTCTAATCACTTTATTAATATACCAAATGCATCTTTGAAATACTTACGTACAACATCCATTTAAAACTTGCATAAATTAAACCAAACCTCAATTACTAATCATCATATAATGCATATCATTAACGTCCAATTTTGACTGATTGATGATATTTTAGTATTTATACACGAAACGGTAATTAAACCAGTTCTTGAAATTCTCAGAACTCAGATCACCACTATTATTTTATTCAGAATTAATAGCTCATACATCTGTATTACGCGTCCAATCAACCGTAAGATTGTTAAATAGCAAATCAAAAGAAACCTGATACCCATCTTTTGGTATGTCCGACGGTATGAGATGTCTTAAATGGTCCAGTTGTATCACATGGTAGTGAAACAAACAAAAAAAATATGACTAACGAAAACGTTCAAGATATATTAATAGTAATGATACTCATTCTTCAAACCAGCTCTCATCATAGTTCATTTATTTCCAAACTCTTTTGGAATGCTCCTACATTTCGCATTAGAAATACTTAGAGATATATTATAAACAATTAAGTGTACAATAACATATAAACGATAATAAGGTCAGCAACACAATCCAAAAATTTGGTACAGTAACATCTGTTTTCACTAATCTAGAACAAGGCAAGGTAAGCAAGAAAACACCTTATCTTACGAATCGCCAAAGCAAATTAGTTTAATTGCAAATAAACAAATTGCTTTTTATCTCTTGAGACATTTGTAATCTGTCATATTACGCAAATGCCTATAGCAAGGCGCCGCATAACTCATGTCTTTAGACATTGCATTGTCGTTAGGTTCCTAGTTACATATTAGTGACATGCATTTCTACCTTAGGCGATTCCTAAATACTTAGGCGATAGACTTAACCGACTGCTAAGTGAAAACGGGCATAAATGACCCATCAAATGCTTTTTCGTTTATTCTGATTTACACAAATTTGATACTGAATAATCCTCATAAAAGTTTCAACAGTTTCTACGCTGCTGTATTTTCATTCTAAGATAGCCCACCTTCTGTTTCCTGTGTACCATGTTAACTTTCATCATGGAATTAATTATCATTTCTTTTGTTGGCTAGATAGATGCAAAGTCATCCATCAATTCCGCTTATCACGCTTGGGAACCCGGCTTGCCTAATTTATCTATAGACCGTTTCGAATATATTCAATCAATTTGTCTTTTCTCTATTCAACGGCAAAGATTTCGTCATCTGTACACTAGTTTTTTGTATAATGAAGACGATATTAGCTTCTCGTTTTTAATCAGCGTTGATTTCAAAATTTGCGTCATTAACATCATATACGTCATTATTATTATGTTATCGTGAAGTGTTTGTAGATAGCTTTGCTGTATTCGCATTTGCTGTGATTTAAAAGCTGCCTGAGGTCGGTGATCTCGCAGCTGCGATATCTGGTCCCCTGACCTCTCCTACCCTCTCGTCAGCGCTATCACCAAACGGGAACGCTAGCACCGCACTTCATTATAAACAACTCATAATTAATTACGACTCTCATTTATTAAGCGTTGTTGTTCGACATTAATAAGGAACTTATATGAATTGTACCCTTATTATTAACAATTTACAATAGATAGAATATTCTTTATTGCTCACACACATAGCAAAATTTACCAAAAGTATAATTCTAAAACGAGGAAAATCAGTCTTATCGCTAAAATAGTCGTTTAATTACACACAAAGCTCACATTATTCCAGAGAAACTTAGTTTAGTAGTGAAAGAGATTAAAATTGAACCGACCCAAATCATTATTTTAATAATAGTGTTTAAAAATACAGACAAAATTCCATTTATTGACCAAAAGTTTTTCATTGTCTTTTTGAATGATTTCCTAAATAACTTCCAGTTAATACTTTACGTTTAAATTGTCGTTTTTGATAATACGTGGTTATTTCACAAAACATTTTTGTTAATTCTTTAGTTAATAAATATAATGTAATGTAAACTCATAATTTTTTTAGTTACTTTCATGTATCTACTTAAGAAGATCCTAGGCTTTGATCTATTACTAAATCGCATTCCTAAGAAGACAATCTTAACTCGAAGAGATTGTAAAAAAGACTATTGTTTTTTCTCCGTATATTTCAAATTGAATTGAAGCATCCTTAACGAAGCAGAGCTTGATCGTTAACCAAGATAATGGTCCGAGGAGATTGCCAAAAACGAGCAAAAATTTATTTAAAACAAATAAAATGGACATGCGCGCTCGCTGCCAACCTGTTTGAGCGCGGCCCGGGACGATGCGAATAACATTATCGATAAGTAATACGATTCAAAATTTAATTCAGTAGGCTAACTCTGAATTATAGACTTTCAAACAAAAACTTTTTTAATAAGTGAATTGGGATTACTGTATTCGGAAGAAGATTTTGTTGATCTCTCAATGTAAAACAGATTAAACTTCTAGTAAAGATGGTATTTTTTCTCCACATCGCTTTTAAGCAAAGTTTACAACATAATTTCCAGGACTTTGACGGTGCTAGTAAATTTCTGCGCTTTTTTGATGGAGGTATACTCATAGTATATATAGGCATTCATATGTTATCAAATTAGTGAAAATGTTCTTTGAAATGCACTTCATTTACTTGAACTTAACGGCATGTATTATCGCGACAAATAATAACAATTAAAATCGTATTTCATTTGAAAATAATGCAGAATTAGAATAAACATTAATTATAGAAAATAATGAAATATAATTTATTGATATTAGTGTTAATTCTGTTGCTTAGCTAAATATAAAAAATCTAATTTTAATTTGACTTTTAGTAGTACAGATTCTGGCGTTTTAAAATATAGTATATTATTATCACAAATGTAAAGTACATCTACTGCTCGTATTTTTTATCTGTGTTACCATACCAACCCGATAATTTTAGAGTATGATGAAAAAACCTTACCGACCGCGGCTTGCCTTCGCCGACATAATTAATAATAACTGAGCCAAGATAAATAATTAAAAAGTAATTGGTCGAGCTTGCCGAGCTAATGTCAGCGTGTCTTTAAACTAAATAAAAGAAAAATAAAAACCAGTGTATGGTATTTTAAAGTTAGTGTAGATTAATATTTGATATGTTTGGTGTTATCAAACATTCGAACAAAAATGAAACTTGGGTCACCCGCTCATGTGAAACTAACCTAACTTCTGCAATATTAATGCCCTCATAGAATAAACTGCTACTTTATCAATTGTAGCTATCCCTTTAAGACCCACTGCCTGTTTTAGTTTCGCATGCAGTGTTTTGAGGGGGGATTACAGTATTAAAGTCATTTTTGTTTTTTTAGCAAAAAAAAGACTCCAATGTTTTTAAGCATACATTGAGATAGTATTGAAATCACAATGGCACAATGAAAGAAACGATATATAGAAAAGTTCTTTTTTTTTGTTGAGTTAATTTATTTTCGTGCAATGAAAACGCTTCGTTTGCTACTGAGAATTTTTATAGTTAGTTGTTAATAGGTTGAATAAATAGAAAGGGTCATTAACTAACCATATCAGTAATTAATGAGCGAAACATCACGATTTATTTGACTGATTAATAAAAATAACCAGTGAGACCATTCTATTTAAATATCGTATCCCACAGCGCAAAAACCGAAATGAAAGCGTATTCCAAATTTCTATCAAACAATTAGGAGGCGTTCTTAAATTCCGCGAATTCTCAAAACCAACCGGACAAAGAAATTTCGAAAAAGAGCAAATTTAAATTTCTGATGGAATAATTTGAATTACTACGAGGATCTTTCCCATGAGAATGGCCATGGCGCTCATCAAAATGTTTTAATCTCAATATATAATTGGTTAATAGATCGTCTATTAATTTATTTAGTTGTGTAATAAATATTTAAGTTTACATACTAAACGTATATTTGTAAACGATAGTCTTTTTGGTGTGCGCTAAGAGAGCGCTTACATAACATAAGCGCTAAAAAGACTATCTTACATTTGATTTTGTATCAATATCCACACTTTTTTCGATTTCTTCTCGTCATTATGCTTTTTATAATAGGGAAAGATATTATATGTTTGTCACTTTGTAGCCGAGGGCGTTATGGTATGATGTGTGAGTA